TTGAAGTGCACGTTTCCTGGTTCCTCTGGGATTTAGCTCATCGGTTGGAGGCTCAGTACACGCATCTTCTCCGCTGTTGGAGATTTCTGCCGTAGACGAGTCTGTCCTCTGAGAACGCTCTAATCTTCTCCGTGACGCGCAGCACGTTTTTCAACCACCAGGAAACCAAACAGTAACCGACTAAATGTGTTTTCAGGCGATGCCCCACAGTCACTGCACCGGTCGATGCTCGCGCTGACCTTATTTTCTATCAGACCAAAGTCATCACCAGAAAGAGCTCGTGGTCCATTACAGAACCAGTGCAGCTGTTAGCGTGGAGGTGTTGGGACGCAGCAGCCAGAAGCTTAATGAAGCAGGTGTGCTGAGATCTGATCAAACTGTAATGGTGCCTGTGGGGACGCTGGTTAGAGATGCAGGCGTTTCCTGAGACACAGCACATCGATCCTCTGTGTGTCCTGCTGGAGCTGAAAGGTTGCACTTGTTTGTGCCACCTTTAAACGCAGGGACAAAATGTCATTGGTTCGTATTGATTTCTAGAACGTCTGAGTTTGTTTTTAAAGCCTTATACCTCCAAGTCCCTCTGTCACAGGTAACATCAGAAGAAGGAAGAGCTCAGGGCTTCCTCGGAGTTGTGTCCATTAAACTGAGGCAGGTTTCCTTCATCAAGGGATTGATTTACAGAGTGTGTAACGAAACCTGAAGCGAGGGTCGGGTCTGCCTGAGAAACCGAGGGACGCCTCACACTCAGACCGGTCCTGAAGCATCAGCCATTTGTGATCCTGTTAGTGCCATAATTTCCAGAATGGACGTTATCATGTGTGACTTCTAGAAGAAGAGTCGCCCCCTGGTGGACTTGAGAGACGGTTCCTGCATGTCTGAGGCACACTGGACAAACATGCTGTGATCAGAAGTTTCCATCCACTCATCGTGGGCATGAATTTCAGGCTCATTTGGGGCTTTTAATGATTTCCTTAAACTCTTCTGTTTCCAGGAAGGACTGTCCAGCATGGGGTTGGATGATTTGCACAGGTTTGAAATCATTTTGGATTTTCTCTAATCCACCTGCAGTGCTTATACACCTGCACTAATATGTCCCTTAAATGTCTGTTAGCGCCTCAGTCAGACACTTTTAGAAGCCGTCAACAAGTGTTTGGCATAATTCTGGATATTTGAGCTTCTTGGCACAACTGGTCGACGTTATTTAAATTAGTTGGTTTTCTGGCATAGAAACAGCTTTAAATGTCCACGAAGCTTCAGCGTAGGCTTGATGTCGGGGCTTTGGGGTCATTTTCCTGTGGGAGCGCCCGCCTGTGTCCGTGTTTCAAACATCGAACTATTGATTTGATAGGAAGCAGTCCTCCCTCTTTATTATTCTAACCACAGCCCCACACCGTCACACTGCCTCCACCATGCGTGACGCAGTGTTCATAGGTTTAAACAGCTCACCTTCTTTGCAGACCATAATTCATCTTTCACATTACTTTATTTGTTTTTGTCTTAAATTCTTGCTGTTACTCAGCAGCTGTCGCCTCTCCAGGCCAACTAAATCCATCCAGAACCACACCAGTCCAGCTGATCGCTTTCACACCATCTTTGTAGTTTTCACAAAGCCGGCAGCATCGAGCTGATTCAGGTTGCACACGGACGTCCTCCTTAAACGCTGCGATCCCAGGGAAACGCCGCGCCCGGTGTGTCTCTGCGTGTCAGATGCTGTTTCGTCATTGTTCATGACTGAAACCTGCATCTGAAACTGTTTTTCCATGACGTTACTGACTTTGTTGTGCGAACGCTGGATTGCACAGGCTGCACTCACAGCTCTTTATGCAAACACCTCGTTCACACATTCATGCAGGAGCTTCTTGCTATCGTCAGGAACAAGTGCACTGCAGACCAACCTGGGGTTAGTGTCTTGCCCAAGGGTACCTGACACGCAGACAGGAGCAGCCAGGGATCGAACCACCGACTTAGTAGATGACCGGCTCCTGAGCTGCAGGACCACAAACCTGGTTCATCTGAGCTTCTAGCCAAATGCTGATGTTACTCGTGCACCGTCACAGTCGCGCTGCACTGAGGTTTGCACTGTGAACACAGCCAAACGTCCTCTGCAGTGTTCGAGCACAGTGTCTAACATTTAATAATGTTATTATTTTTGCTCCATTATTTCCTCCTGATTCCTCTGCTCGATATTTCATTTATGAGGCTTTAATAACTGGAAGTCACCACAGTGAAGTTATTACTGTGTGTGTGTCAAACAGCTGCAGTCCTGACGCTTCATCTTAAAATGCGCTTTAGATGCTTACAGTAGTTTTTGGTCTGAAAAGCGTGCACTTCATGTAATGCACACTGCAGACCTGGATGTGACTGAGCACTTATTAGCAGCTCTGTGTGTCTGTGCAGTCTGTGATAGCCGAGCTCTCTGAAGATGGTCACCAAAAACCCTGCAGTGGCTTAAACGCGTTTGTGGGTCACGTGACTCTGACTTGTGAGTCCGTCACAGGATCCGGTTCGGTCACTTTGCTCCTAGGAAGCGACTTCACAAACTATCTTGAGCGGATACGATCATTTCAACTCTGATCTGCTGCTAAAGCAGCCGGCTGTCATGCAGCACACCCATTTTCTGGCAGAGCTGTTGAAACCGGGCCTCTGCATCGTGTGGTTTCGGTCTGCAGCCGCTGCAGCTCAAGCGAAGGACAAATGTGTGATTTGAGAGAAAAACAGAGCAGCCGTGGATGCATTCAAAGTGTGCCAACGCAGCATTTCAAGGTTACGCTAACACCTCGGCTGCATAACATCATCATCTCCTCGTGCTTTCATCTGAGCGAGCCCCTCTGAGAATTACAGCAACTCCCAACAGCTCCGCACTCGTTTCATCTTTGAGGCTACAAGAAGGAAGCAATTAGCTCTCCTATCTTCCCCTTCCTCCCATCTCCCTCCTCCGTCTCCTCTCTTTAGCTTCACTTAGCACTCCTCACAGCTCTGTCTGCTGAGACCTGATTACTTCAGAGGACAGTGAAGGGAGAGATGAAGAGGAGGAGGCTGACGAATGATGGGGAGGGAGGATCCGTACAGATGGTGGCCATGAAAGCGCTGCAGATGTTCATTGAGTAAAAACAGAAACTAAAGTGGAGAAATGTTGAAAACTTATCAAAAACTACACGTTTAGTAGTTCAGCAGGTTTTCTGTTCGTTTGATTCTTTCAGTTCTTATTTTGTTGACAGTTTCAAAGCATTTAAATGATATAAGCTGACTTAATCCACCCGATATTTCCCCTTGTTTGTCTCATCAGGTCTCCAAGGATCTGTTTGGGCTGTAATTATTACCATCACTATTAGTTTAAGTTATTATTTTTTAGCCTGTTTGGCATACCCATGGTGGGAGAAGAACCACCAGTAACACTGTAAAATCTCCCAGTTTCTGTGCTGAGAAACAGCCCAGCCCGACCCTGAAGTGCTCACTGGAGGACAACATGAGCTTAACTGTCCTCCGCTGAGGCGAGAGCCGCTCTGATCAGCCTATCGTGTCTGGTTTCTTCAGGCATCAGAAAACGTCTCCTCGCTGTGAAAGTGTCACCAGAGTCAAAGACTAAAGGCCAGCGTGTACTCGGGGTCAAAGTCGGGCTTAATGCTCTCCACGCAGCTGGAGGTTAACCCTCTAAAGCCTGAACCTTGAAACTGGAGAGTTTATTGAAGCATCTGACAAATTTGTTTGAAAAACTAATTACATTTTAATTTCCATATATGCCTTTTATTTTGTATCAGTTTGTTACATCTGGCTTTAAGAAACCATCCACCTGTCAGTCAAATAGGCCACGCCCCTTTAATCCTTAATACAATTTAAACAGGTGAGTTTTAGAAACATCCTCCCTATGCAGGTGTTATGGAAGAGAAAGGATCCACAGATAGCAAACAGTTTGTGTATCAGGCGGCAAACATGGTTATTTCTGCCGTAAAATTTTAACATGGGAGTCTATGGGGACTGACTCACTGCTGCCTCTGCTGGACGTTAGATGAACTGCAGCTCATCTTCATTCTTTCCCTGGATGTTGCTGCTTGGGTTGAAGTTCAGTCCATCAGCAATCGTCTCTCCTCAGAAAAGAATGAATTACTACCTGCTTTGGAAAACAGCATCTGCTGAACTTGATTACACAACATGACCAAATCATTGTTATGGATCCATGTCTGGGTGATGCTGAGAGTTTATATCAGAGCTAATCTCACTCAGGTTTCCTTTTAGAGGTCACATATGTGAGGAGCTCCACACTTGTTCATTAAAGATCAGCTCCTGGCTTTAGCCCAAATAATTACAGTTACATTACAACATGTGAATTTTGATTTTATGTATTGTAGAGCCTGTAAAATAAATAGGCCCAAGTGTGAAAGCTACACAACATGAGGTGGATCAGTTAGTTAGACTTGTTACTGTTACTGTAGTTCCTGCACAAAGTTTTCACCAGAAATTTAAACCTAATTTTCACGATTTATTAACGACACTCACCATCATTCCAGAGTGTAGCAACCAACCAGCTGTGTTGAACATGGTGTCAGTTGCTACTGACAACAAGAACTAAAGCTGTTTCAACACAATGGGCTGAACCATTTTTTAATGCGGGTGCGGGGGGGGAGGTAGGTAATGCACTATGTCGAGTTTTAGAATATAATTATTTTAATTAACTTCAATGGTAATTATAACTAGGCTCAAAGTGTTAATACTTATATGCATATTGTCATATGCAAAACTAGGGTGGCAAGAGAACATGCCACCCCAGTAGATCCGCCCCTGAGGACAGAGATTTGCAGAGAGAACACGAGACGAAGCTTCGCTCTGTATCCACGTCCTGCACTGACTTTATGCTCCACCAGGGGCAAGAATGTACATTATGTTGATATGAGGTTATGATGATATAAAATGAATGTCATTGTGTGTGTGTGTGTGTGTGTGTGTGTGTGTGTGTGTGTGTGTGTGTGTGTGTGTGTGTGTGTGTGTGTGTGTGTGTGCTTCAGATCTATCGGCGTTGCTGGCTGGTGTTCAAGAAATCTTCCAGCAAAGGACCTCGTCGTCTGGAGAAATACCCCGACGAGAAGGCTGCTTACATCAGAGCATGTCCTAAAGTAAGTGTGTGTGTGTGTGTGTGTGTGTGTGTGTGTGTGTGTGTGTGTGTGTGT